AAAATGCTTTTGAAGGAACAAAATTAATAATAAAATGGACTTTAATAAACCATTAAAGTAGTAAAGCCAGAATTAGAAAGAAATATAAGATAAATGATTGTTCTCAGAACAGTGAGAAATTCTAGTGAGCAATCAAACATTAGTTATTTTACTAATAAGATGAAATCAGCTACTTTTATTTACAGAAACAGACACTTTTACACATTTTATTACACCGCTGAGAAGAAAATGTCTACTGATTGGTTGATGCTCCTGTAACCCAGAAGCTCCCATTCAAATTAAAGCCATCTTGGCAATCTAATTCTCATCAGCTTCATATTGATCTGTATCCTGAGTGACATTTCCTTATTCTATTCGGTGAAGCTGAAGGCCAAACTCGCTCGAAGGCGTTCATCAAGGTTTCATGTAAGGTGAATGCCACATCCATCTACACTGGGATCGATGCACCAGCCAATCGGTCTGCTCCTGCATCGCTTTAATAAGCCAACAGATCATTAAAAAGTTGAGTTTATGAGAGCAGAGCGCCACCGAGCAGCATTTGTCCACATAAATAACAAGAGTATGATAAACAGGTTTAGTTATTGCACTTTAAAACATAAAAGTTAAACACATTTTCATAAAAATGATTACATCCACACAGCTGAGACACAAAAATGAATTGCTAATCTTCATTTATGATAGTTAAACGTAAATTAGCTAACATAAAGTTAATCACTGAAATTAGAAAAATATCTGAAAAAAGAATGAGAAGATCTGGTGAATGAACTAAACCTCTTTTGAATAAGTTTTAAAATGTCCTTCTCTTCCTGTTAATAATTAAAAGAAATTAAGTCATTTACAGAATTAATTTAACCTTTCAAACAGAATCTTCCATTTTGTTCTCCCACACATCATTAATTTCCCCTCAGTAAAACATTATAATCTCAATTTTCTGCTTCGGAGAGAGAATCGCTATGGAGGCAAATCAGTTTCAAAATGCACAAACTTGTAGATCTGTTGTGTGTGTGTGTGTGTGTGTGTGTGTGTGTGTGTGTGTGTGTGTGTGTGTGTGTGTGTGTGTGTGTGTGTGTGTGTGTGTGTGTGTGTGTGTGTGTGTGTGTGTGTGCAGTAGAATGTGAGAAGCTGCACACCAACACACACAAACTTGTAAAGATAAACGTGTACTTATAAGAAAAAGTCACATGCAGGTGAAATAAAATAAAGTTGTGTGTCACACTTTCAACTACATGTCTGTGTTTCTGTGCATGCTCTGCACACACACACACACACACACACACACACACACACACACACACACACACACACACACACACACACACACACACACACACACATGCGCTCACACACAACAAATCTACAACTTCATGCATTTTGAAACAGACTGGACTTCATTGATCGTTCCTAATCTGCATGCTGAAATTGAACATAGCTCAGAAAGGCATCAAATATCTGCAGTTATTTTCCACCTGAGCGGATAAAAGATGCACATTGTGCAGAGAACGCTGTCAGCTTTCATCTTTATAAAAGTGAATGTCTGAAAGAGCAGTATTATTATCACCAGGCAACCACAACTCCAGTTTCTATATTTAACCACACAACTCTGGGTAATTACAAGGGCGGCTGAATGTAAAAGGAAAAACAAAAACAAAAAAACCACATTTATCATTCATTTCCTAAGACTCGTGGTTTTTTGGGTACATTTATTCAGTTTCCATGTTGTCGTTCTTTTTTAAAACACAGAAACGGTTTTGTTACCTGTTATTTACTCTGTAAAACAGAAAGGCAGAGAGATGGAAAAAATATCCTGACGAATGTAGAATTTCTTATTCAATACTAGGAGTTATTGTGAAGAGGACCAATACTTTTACTCCTTCGATACGATTGTGACAAATTAAAAACAATAAAAACCATCGTTAAAACACAAAATGTTCCCATCATCTGTCTGTCTATATTCCATAATGTAATATAAATAGACACTGGATCAAGTTTTGGGCTCCACTAGGGTTGTCACGGTAACCGGTATAGCGGTAAACCCCGGTAAAAAAGTTGACAATAAAAATAACCGTCCAGTTTTTAAAAAACTATATTATCTCGGTGGGTTTACCGTGGCCGCGGTTTCGGCGCGATGACCCTTACCAGCCACCGTCGCTTCAGCTGAAGTTCCCGCTGCGCGCACACGCACTTTTTAATTTGCAACGGCACCAAAACTTTGAAGCTGAAATAATGGCCGAAGGAGGAGACGGCAGCGCCCAGGACATCCATCAGCCCTCAAAGAAGACTAAATCGGAAGTATGGGCATATTTTGGATTTCTGAAAAACGCTGAGGGACAGTTAATAGAAGACGGCTATCCCGTTTGCAGAACGTGCAGGAAACAAGTGTCTGCAGAAGGCAGCAACACTTCAAATCTCATGGCACATCTGCGTGACGATCACCCACGTCTCCACAGCCAGTGCAAGGTAAGTTAACATTAGCATTTTAGCTGAAATGCATGACGTGAGGACTTCTGGTTGAGGGAGAATGCAACGAGTCACTATATACTGCAGCCGCAGCGTCCTCTGCCAGCATTTAAACCGTGTCACGGACACCCTGTTGCTGGATGAAGCATCTTATTTGTTGATGATGAAGAGAAATATACAATTAGTTCCTTGTCATGGATTTGTTTACTTATTCAATGCCATTTATACTTGAACATTTGGATTTGATTACATAGTGTAGTAGTTATTTTAGTAATTTGTTTAAAGTGGATATTTATTTTAAATACATATTTTTTAAGGTTGACTTGTACAGTGCTCAAGTCAAGTGTGGACTGGAGTTTTAGATTTTCATTTTGATAATGAAGAAAACAAGTATATGAGAAAACAAGTGGTGTTTCTTTGATTTGTTTACATATTGTTTATGTTTTGAATGTTTGGATTTGTATAATTTAAACCTGCACTGACTACTGTAACAAGTTCCAGAAAAATAAGCTATTTGTTCCTTTACTTGTGAAAAGTTGCACTTTTGCTAAGGCTTTGTGTTATTTTAGGTTTAATAAACACTGTTAAACCTTTTCAGAACTATTTCAGTTTGTGTAGAACAGGACTATCAATGCTTTCTGAACATATGCAACACCGTTTAAAAAATACCGCGATAATACCGAAAACCGTGATAATTTTGGTCACAATAACCGTGAGGTTAAATTTTCATACCGTGACAACCCTAGGCTCCACCTTGGTAATTCAGTTGAGGGCTACCAGGGGAGCCCATCAACCTTTTGGGGGAGCCGGGCTCCCCTCTGCTCCCCAGTTACTCAAACCCTGCTTTAATACCAATTCCTCATGTTGGCAGAAACATTTCGTTCAGATGTGCATCAAAAGAAAAGAAAAAAAAACAGAATGTGTGTGTTCATAAGCTTTTGTCAGTACAAATCAGCTTTGTCTGCAACCTGTTCTTCACAGATGTTCTCTGCATCTGTTCACTTCACACATTAGATAATAAAGTGTTTGATATGTTATTTAGTATGCAGCCACTTCTCAGAGTAGACAAATGTAATACCATCTGTTGATGTTACACACAGTCACACAACTACACTTCAGTGCCTTAGGTTTTAAAGTTGCTATAGCAAATTTGGAAAACAAATGAGCTTAAAACATGTTTTTTCACGTCTCTTTACAACGTTCTAACATAGTATAGCTATAAAACATTGTGGAGAAACAACAAAGATAAAGTATTCCTCTTGCATTTATCTAAAAACCTCCGCCAATAACACGTTTTGGATCGAAAGCAACTATTGAACCATCTGGTTGTTGTCTCACCAAACTGCCACACTTCCTGGGTCCTCCATTCATTATGCATTCACATATTTAGCAACAGAACACCACTGGTTTGAGAGGTTCTCCGATCAATAATGTCAGAGAAAACAAAACCACCATATGAAGTCATGGGCAACAAAAGATGGTTGGACCTAGAAAACTGGCAGTACGGGTTTCCGGTTCTAACTGAAGATGGGAGGGGGGGGGGGGGGGGTCGTGACTGTTGTTCTGTAGATTCACTATAACAGCTTTAAGAGGTTTCAAATTTAGTTTTCTTTCTTTACATTTAAATTGTAATGTGTTGAGTTGATGCTTAAAGATTCCAGAACAGATGAGGAAAACAAGTTTAAATTTTACTGAAAAGCACATTGGGTCTAAAACATAAGCATGTATTTGACGAAATAATTTAATTGAAGATGCAATATGTAAAAATGAAGTGAACGTAACACCATGCGATCAAATTTGGCTACTGCAGTCCATTTGTGTGCTCTGGCCACAGAGGACGGTGGGGGGTCTGAGTCACCTTTCATTAACCCTGTAAAGGGGCATTTTAGAACATACTGGCTCAAGAAAATGATGTAAAAATGTTTAAGAAGTATTTGCTAAAACTCAAATGCTTTTCTGCTGTGCTTCTAGGCCTGAAGGCTTCATTATTTCCAAGCATCCCTTAACATTTCTAAACTGTCATTATTAGATGTGATCATTGTAAAAGAAATAAGAAAGGACTTTTTTAATATAGGACTTTCAAACAAAAAATAATGAAATGCTTTCTATATCCCTAACTATCACCTTAATATTAAAACACATTATTTGAGCTGTTTCAGCTTTTAGCTTCATATTAGAAACAGGCCAAAACATCAAATTTAACAATTTATCATCTTTTCTCAACTCAGTTCTTAAACGTTCAGATTTTGTTACATTTTTGAAAAATAAATAAATAAATAAATAAATTACCACAGAAATGTTAAAAAAGAAAAACACTGCATCTCTTAAAAAAATAAAAATGTGGCTCAGAAAGACACAAGTAGCGGGTGATAACAGCACCATCTGCTGAGGAACATTTGTCACTCCTACACAAAATCTGGAGGCTGAGAGGAAGAATTAATCACACAACTACCGCTGACATCAGGCTTCATCTTCCAGTCAAGATCTTTAAACTTCAGCTTCCCTTTCATTACATTTTAAATAATAAAAAAGAACAGGTGAAG